ATATATATATATATATATATATATATATATATATATATATATATATATATATATATATATATATATATATATATATATATATATATATATATATATATATATATATATATAATGGAAACGAATCGACACCAATCGATACACAACTCAATCTTAGTAGACGATTAGTATGCAGTCCACCACACGCACGGGCTGGTGGCGATCGCACTGGGCAGATTCCACCGATCGTCCAGAATATAATCCAATACCATCAAATGCAATAAAATATTGGTGCGTTTGACACATACATCGAGGGATTCTTTGATCAACATATGAGCGCACTCTACATCTGCGTACGACGGATGGTCGGGGTCTGTATACCGTTGCATGTCTCTCATCAGCAGCGCGTACTGTACAGGGTGACGTAGATGTTGGCAGGTAGAATTGCAAGTCAGTATGCGAACCTGGAAGTACTCGGTCTAGTATTACAGGTAAGTGAAGATATTGGTAGACGAGAAGAATACATTTAGATAGTACGTATTTAGCCATACCCCATCGCGACGCAGGTATGACAATAACTAGTCTTCGCATACAGAAATAAGACAATACGAACGGTCACGCACAGACAGTCAGACAGACAGACAGGACTCCAAGGCCACACGCAGAGCCCATATCATACCTTAGTGACTCTCTGTAGGGGTTGAATAGCATACGTTTGAAGCCCGAGGCTATCCATCTTGCCCACTGCCGTCAGCTCTTCCAAGAACAAACTGAATTCCGCATTTTCAGCCTAAAATGACAGCAAAGCACGTGAAACTTCGTCAGAAACTCTCCCCAACCCGACCCGCGAGACAAGGTGCTGTTGTAAGTACTAGCGTCCGCCCTGTGCTCCTTACGTCGGTGCGTCGGTGTGTTATAGCGCACATTCGGTCTACCACAGATACATCCCACACTTCGAATCGCATTCGTTGTTCAGAAAACGTATTGAACTTACAGTAAGCTGCTTGGCATTTGCCGAACGCTGCCGAATCGTGGAGCATTGCTGGGAGTACAACACATGCGACTGCGTGAAGAACGGTGCCAATATATCGCAGATGTTGTCGTATAAGGGATACGTTTCTGCGGCCCTTTCCTCCAAGGCAGCTGCGGATTTCCATGTGTGTGAGGCCATTGAATACGTTACATTGAGATGTGACTAGGTAGAAATCAGAGCCGGAATATACTAGATAACTCCGCATCAACAATACGGTCTTGTAGACGAGCTAGGATCCAGTTTAGATCAAAATGATGGCAGGAACGAGCGGCACGGTAAGACAAACTACACCGGCCAGAATACCCATCCAAATGCGCTTCGCCTCACAGGAATGAGTAGCCGAAGAAAGGCAAAAGCTACTACATAAAACCAATACTAAGGTCCATACCCAGTAGAGGAGTATGCATGTTGAGCAAGCAATCCACACTGCCAAACACGGACTCGACCTCGTGTTCGGTGAGTATATTCAGTTTTCTCAAGGGACATTGCAGTGAGATCAGAATGTCCTTCAGGCCGGCGACGTACGATCGCTCCGTCACCAGTACCTCATGTATACACTCCTGCAGTAAGTGAGAATCGCGTAATGTATTAGCTTGATAGAATGGTGATCAAGGTCAAATGAGTGCGCCATAAGCAGCCGTTATTCCCGTCTTCGCCATAACAGCTAATGTGGGAACTCCATATTTGGACAGCCCCTCATCCTTCAATTGTGATGGTATCCATCTTAATATCTGATTCGCAAGATGCAGTATAGTACTACGTTTTCCTCTGATATTTTCCGTACGAAGCGGCACAACTTTAATTACTACGAATTCACATACGCACAGTTATAAGAATGGCAACCTAGCAGGACACATTGTCCTACTGTTAGAACAAACCTGTCGATTGCGTTCCATGGCACCAATTGTATGTAGTATTTCCGCAACTTCTGGTCTGTTTTTCCAGAGTTTATTCTGCTGGACCTGGAATTCGGCCTTACTGTTCGCCAAGTTAATCTCAGCTTCGAACTTTGCCATGGGATTGTCGCTAAATCTATGGTCTCGGGAATTGGATACCGTCATCTCTTCGGCCGCTGAGCGAAAGAACAGCATGTTTGTTTTGACATTCATATGAACTAGATTTTGAATGCACGCATAGAGAGGCGCGCTCCAAGCTCGTCCAGAACAGACGCTCGAGCGACAATCTTGAATTTCCCGTCTGGGTTATATTGATTTCACCCAAGACTCGAGAAGATTTGGCTACAAGGAGTGAGCCAAAACAGTGCGAATATCGTACGTGTGAATGGACACATGCATGTAAACACATTCACACATACATATACACCCATACATGCAAGTGCCCACACACATGTGCCCACACACATGCCCATACGCATACACTTATTCATACACACATAGCGCACGCACAAATAGTTGATATACGACATGTATACCGGCGAGGCAGAACTGGTCCCTCCAGGCATGGTTGATCTTTGTTGTGTGTATCCCCACATCCACTTCGTACTCCTGCTGGAGCCATGACGAGTACCAGCGGAAGCAAATTGGCTCGTGATTGTCACCCTGAGTTGGCGGGGAATTGTACAATGGTTGGAACTATAGGCAATACAAACAAGGTCATGACTCGCTCACTTTAAAGCAATTGCACGATATGTGGTATATCAGGGCCTGTTCACTCTATGACTGTTTCAGTATGGTATGTTGTACGTCGGGAGTTCGACGGACTGATTGAGCTGAATATTGCGGAAGATCTCAAAGCAAAACTGTTGTGTTATTGTTTTCCGTGTGAGACTGATAGGTGGGACCGACGTGTCGCGTCCAAAGACAATCCCAGCCTTACCTCCACAAACTCAAGCGTGTGAAACTCGCCCGGCTCCGCGATGACCTTGTATATATACAGAGGTGTAGATGCAGACCCCACACTGATGGCATCTATAGCGGAACGATCCAAGTCACCCCCCTTCCCCGTGGGCGTTGTTGGTGGCCGTACACTCATGTGCGCGGCTAGACCATTGGCTATGCTTGAGGCCGGGTTGTACTGGGTGTTTTCGATGAAATTCAGAGATGGTGGTGGTGGTGGTGCGTGGCTCTTGCTGTGGCTATTGAGGCGCAGTAGCTCGCCGATACTCGGGCCTGGAGCGTTAAGAAGTGGAGATGTGATATGAGATCGAGTGTTGCGAACGCTTAACGTGGCGAGACATACATTGCTCGTAGGCGTGTATGCGGATATACCACATCATGCTCGATTAACATTCACACAGAGTTTCGTAATGTGCTAAATGTATCAGGATGCCAAAGCCGTATACTTCGGTCACAAATGTAACTGAACTCCGTGATACAGTCTCGCTGCAAAATGAACTATAAACTTACTTTCAAGCGCAGCATCCTTCTCTGAAGCTGTTCCGTGGTGAGGCTTCGAATCGAAAGGAAAAGATGTATCTCCATCAGATCCTGACATGTCACCCGCTGAGTCGGAGTATGGTCTACTGCGAGAAGTGGGGGTCGTGGGCATGCTCTCAGATAGACCAGTTCCGGGCATATACTTCAGCTGCAGGTGGCCGTGAGATGTATGAGGGTTATGGATTACAGCGGCATCTAGTTAAATGGCTATGCAGTAGTACATGTAATCTCAATTTTGGTTTGACACGAGCCAGACAAGGGACAGAAACGAAACATTGACGAGCGCTTTCTACCAAAGGTATATGCAGCCTGAGCCCATGAAACATCAAACGTAAGACAGATCAGTTAAATCGTTTGCAAACATGTGTTATTTGCCGCGTAAAATGCCTCGTAGGACGCACAACTGTTCACGTCCGCAAATCAGAACTTAGTATCGCCCACTTACACGTCGAAAGGACTTCCATCCTTTTCGAACATCGCGCTTACCTTCCGTATCCCCACCATCGTAGCGGAAGGCCGCAGATCACCGTATCGCTGTGGCTCGAGTTCGTCGCGTCTGTGACTGGACAAACTGCGCACGCGGTTCTTGATCGAATTCGCGCGGGAGACAGGTAATGTGAGATTGGACGAAGTCGCTGCAAGCAATTCTGTGGAGGGATTTGGCTGCGTCATTGACCTCGGTGCGTTGGACCGCGCCGAGACCGGACCGCGAGGCTTGTCAGTGAGCAGAGATGGGGGTGCTGTCAGGGTGCATGTCGGAGCCTGAGTACTGGACTTGGCTGCGGGTTTGTGGGACAGTACCGGTGTTTCTGCCAATGCTGAGCTGCTGCGCGGAACTACTTTAGTTGCGAGAGGGGGGGGTGGCTTCATCAGGATATGGCCGGTGCTGTGGTTGGGGTCCTCGACCTCGTGGAGGTCGTCTTCGAAGCGAAACGCATAGGGAGTGGTCTCTGTATGGAACGTCGAGACAATATTTATTGAATGTGATAAAAAGATAGCATCTGAAATAGGTGGGTACCGGAAGATATATATTGAGACATAGTTTGATGCTTTTAGGGATCTGTATGCGGGACAGCCCAGTGGAGGATTCTCTATATGTCTTTTTTTTTTTGCGATGGCTACATGCATCAGATTGCGTGCAAAAGGATGTGTATCGGCAGGTCTAGCGGGCACATACTCTTCGGAGAGAAATTGAATCCAAACGCTGCTGCTAACGACTGGCGTCTACCTCCTTGGCCTCTGGAGAACATTGGGCTTTTGTAGCCTTTGTTCTATGGTTGTGGTGGTATCAGTTGTGGTGTTAGTTCGTTGACTTATACTATTATTGCATTAGAATTAAACTGAAAAGGGTTGAGAAAATTATATGGACTTCTTAAAGACCAATTGGAAACCTTGAACTATAAACCCCTGACACCCCCAAGTGGAATCGCCGAAATACACCGTCTTGTTTAAGCCCGAAATATATCGTGCTATTGAATACACGCACTTTTTCATCTTTGTCGTCAATTGCGCTTTCATTCTGACATTCTCCCGATGTATTCGAGAGGGAAATGTTACTGTTATCCAAATCGGAATGCTCGCTGATAACTTCGTTAGGAATCGGTAGAGTGCTGTAGTTGCTGCTCATCGATCCATTAGACATTGACGAGATAACGGACAATCGCCGTCTATTTCCGCGATATGAAAAGTCCAGGCTTGAACGCTGAGAGATGGTATCAAAACAACACATGTTCGCAAGTGTGTTAGTCATACTTCTCAGAACTGAATGTATTGCTGTCCCACCAGCACATGTGTTCGCACACAGCATTGTATATAATGTACATTTTCGGGAATTCATATTCTAACACCTGCACCTTTTCGATTCTCGGCCTGACATATACGTCTACATGGTCGCGAAGATTTGAGATTTTGAAGACATTTGTCCAAACAGGAGATATGATGCGTGATCTCTGCCGTCGCACACAATCTGCTTTGGTGTGTGAGATGAATTTCAAGCACAAGAAAGCAATCAATCCGGCTCGCCATGTCACTGTACAGCTCCATACCTTCGATCGCCCATGCTTGGTTTTCGTGAGGATGAAACAATCATTGAACAGAAACCCGTATAGATTTTTTCCAGTCGACTTGCCCTTCGCCCGATGATCGAAGATAGTGACAAAAATCGGGCCTTCGTACAGTAGTTCCCTATGACTCCCATACAAATAACCGAATCAATAGTCAGTACACCGGTTAGTGGACCTTCGATGTGCCATCAAAGTGGCCTAAACATATGTTGTGTCAGCCTCGCTGTTATGGCCTACAGCCAAATTTTATCTCACTAAGCTGAGACTTCAATACTGACATCAGAACTAGTTAGACTGAAACAGCAACACCTGCATATAGCATTCTCGGGGCTGTTCAAGTGTCTGCACTTCAGTAGAGCGCGCGTCGCAGGGGTTGGGATGGACAGAGAAACATACCGTGTGTTTACAAATGCATTCCCATATACAATACCTAGATATTCTGATGTTACCTTTACCTGTAGTGGGTGATCCCATGATGATCGATCGAGTTGAAGCGTGCCATTAACATCCCGTTACATACGACCATGTGCTTATCTTCGTAAGCTACTGGTTTTAATAACAAGCAATTATATAAACATATTGCGAAGTGTATAATCGCTTTACGCACCAAAACAGCAAAACATACCTGCCGGGCTCAACAACGGAGAACTGACGAACTTTCTCATGAAATACTAGAGAACTTTGTACCTAATTAGCAACAGGGAAATTGTGTCAGAGTCCTTAAGTTGAGTGCCATGTATGGTTTGAATGTGAACGTGGGCTACTGTGGTCGTTGCATGCGTGTTAATATACAATTGATCCCGCGACGATGTGCACAGACAATATCAGATATTCACTCCAACGTTAGAGGGCGCCGCAGGATCTTCAGAGAACCACTGTGTAGGCGAGCTTATGGTGTTAAAGCACAAGTATTGGATTTGCACAGTTGTGATATCATGATTATGGGCCCATATAGGCTTTGGGAGAGAGTTTTCTCCTCCCATCTTCAGACAACTTTCTTCACATCATCCGACATAGCCAAAAGTCATTGTAATGTCCTGCATATCGACAGAGAGTGCACACGCGTGGCCCTGTTGAGGCATACAACTGCCTACTAAACTCGTACACACGAAGACACCCAGATGCCACAAATCCACAAATCTACAGACAACGATGTCAAAATAATATGTGCCCGGCGACAAATGAGCTCCCAGCCAGATTTAGAATCAGGTGGAGAGCATTGCAGAAGTTACAATTGATTTGTTGGTCTGGCACGCACATAGGCTACAGCAAGGCACAGGTCGATTTCGTGCTTAAACGAGACATAAATAGCCGGATTACTTCCGACTTGCTTAATGAGTGTAATTTTATGCTTAATGGCTGTTTGTAGATTTGTATTACTTATGTGTGTATTTGATACATGCGGGCGCACAATACTTTTGCACTGATTGCGCCATATGTATCACAGGTATTCTCGCGATATACCGCTTGACGCAAACAAAAGATACTACAGGCAGTTGGCTTTACACCGGCTTTGATGTACAAATACTTTCTAGGCCGCGCAACATTATGCATTTGCACAATCGACATTTATCACTTAATTTAAATTCGACGAATTCCAGAATAGACGACGTGATAAACACTGGTCGAATGAATCGATCGCGACAGCATCAAGATATATTTTCCCTACAATCAGGACAACTATTTTACAGAGGCTGGAACTATTCTAATCAAATAACTTCTAACAACGATGTATAATATGCATAAGTAAAGGCGCAGGTCTTCATCTCCTTATATGGCTACTTCGAGTTTGAAAGGATAAGAAAACTTGCTCATAATATATATATATATATATGTGTGTGTGTGTGTGCGTGTATGTGTGTGTGTGTGTGTGTGTGTGTGTGTGTGTGTGTGTGTGTGTGTGTGTGTGTGTGTGTGTGTGTGTGTGTGTGTGTGTGTGTGTGTGTGTGTGTGTG